TGGGAAGTGTACAGAAGATTACAGGGTAGAAGTCACAGTCCAGGAGCTGACAGTCCATAAATATTTGTCAGTGATGAATGAGGATACTCAATCTGAGAACTAGGTCTATGGCCTAGGCCAAATCACCTCATTTCTCATGAAGACTTCATCTGCAAGATGGATGAATGGTTTCTTATCTCATTGAAAGGAGATGCTGGGAAAATAATTCAGCAGTTGCTACTGGATTATTAACCTTCCATTTTGAAGGCCACACTTAAATTTCTAACTTAGGTCCATGAAAATTGACAGACTTTACACTCACCACACTGTCTGCTGCTAAGGATGGTGGATCCAAGAAAAATAAAGGCCCAGACAACTAAGATATCCCTAAGAAATGGGGTGCCCTGGAAGCAGAAATAGTCACTAAGAACCAAGTACAATCCACATATTTCTAACAGGACAATGCAAAAAAGCCATGGTGTCCAGTTCTACAAACTGCACATATGTGTGGTTTCACATAAACAAGTCAGACAGAGTGAGAACACAGACAATTTTCACGTTCACGTTTTTATAAGCACTTCATCTTTCTGTTTTGGCTCCTATGGCAGGCTGATACGTCTATAACAATTACATCTCCCACACAAGGCAAGTAAAATCTGAGCTTGATGCTACCTAGCCTTACCAGAGAGAACTGCAGTAAAGGCAATGACAAAAAACACATTTTTACAGAAAGCCTGGCAAATAATCTCACCAATGCTGCCTCCTTTTACATGTGCGTTCTCCATTTGCAACAGTGTGTCCAAAGATAACACTCATATTCAGAAGCAAGCGAATCCAAATCGCTATCACCTCTTCCCCACCACCATTAAGGTCATCTCCAAATTTCAGACCAAAAAATGTGCTAACACACAGTATGAAGGAATTTGGGGAACCTATACAAAGGATTCTGGCACTAAAATGACACCACATAACGTGGGAAAATACTCCGATTCTCAACCTCTGATTTTTTTTTTCCTGGGTATCCGGCCTGACTCAGTAACCGGTTCTAACACATGCATTTTCCTGATTCAAACTCCAATCCTGTTCTTCCTAAGGAATCTTGGATCCTGCCAGGTTCTATAACAAGAGGATGATGAAATGGCTTTACTGCAAAGTGGGAGGAGGTTCCCCCCCTGTTATCTCCCAAGGTTAAACCCTTTATTCATTTAAAGGGACTCAAGTAAGGGCGCTGGGACTTGAGAACCCACCCGCATTTGGTTAAATTTTAATTTTTGAAAACCAGAAAGGACGGAGCAGGAGTGACAAGAATGAAAGGGAAGGTTCTCGTCGAGTAAGGCGTAGGGAGGGGTCGCATGAGGATCGAAACTAGGTATTGAGGGAGAGGATCCGGGGTCTGCAGCTCCACCGTCCCTTCCGGCGCATTACAGAACCGCACCCGGCCCGCCAGGCAGGGCCGCAGCCTGGGCCTCTCGGAGAAGCCAAGGGCCCGGCCCCGGAAACAGGGAGGGGCCGCGGCTAGACCAGTCCCGCGCTGCAGGCGGCTGCGCCGGGCTGGGAAGGCAGCGTGCCGCTAGACCCCGGGCCCGCCCGCTGGGCATCCGTAGTCGCATCAGCCCCACAGAAGCATCGAACACGGGCCCCCAGGGGCCCTGGGTGGGGCCCGCGCCGCACTCACCGTGGGAGGGCTGCAGGGGGCAAAGACGCTTCCGACCAAAGCTCTGAGCGCAGTGACTGCTTCCTTCCCAAGCCCGCTCCTCAGGCGGAGGCAGCTGCAGTGACTGCGGTGGCGGTGGCGGTGGCGGTGGAGGCGGCGGCGGCAGCGGCAGCAGCTACCCGGGCTCCGGGATCGGCGGCGGCGGTGGCGGCAGCTCCACTTCCGCTCCGGTCGCCACTTCCGCTCCGGTCCCAGCCTCGCCCCGCCCTGCGCCGTCTCCTCATTGGGTAAGCGAGGCACGGGGTTGCCGGGCCGCCGGAGAGGGGCGCTTACGGAAGGGAGGAGGAAGAGCAGACGGCTGGGAGGCTGCGGATGCGGGAGGCCCGGCCGGGGGAGGGAGCCAGGAGGAGGCTGGCTAAGGGAAGGAAATGGGGCGGTGGAGCGGGAAGAGGAGGTGGGAGGAGAGAGGGCGGAGCTGGGGGTGGTGGTCAAGGAACTCGCTCTGCGGGGGCAGGGAGGACCCGGAGTGAGGCCCCTCTGGGGGTTGCCCTGGGTAGAAAGGCTGGATTCCGCGGGTCCTTGGTTACTACCCCACCCCGGAAGTAATCCTGGCCGGGTCCGAGGGCGAGGCCAGTCCCCTTTCGCTGTGTACTTTGGGAATACTGGACCCAGGGAGGAACAGAGATTGCTCATCCCTAATTATCCCTTAATCTTCGACGGCCCTTACCGTTTTCTTTCTTGTAGACTGAAGAGGCTACATGAAGTGTCAGGAATGGAATTTGCAGAAGGCTTTTGAAAAATACCATGTACATGATTTCCTCCTTGAGATCCTCCCTAAGGCTCATAGAGGAAGCTTCATGGAAGGAAATATGTCTTCACAGCTCCATGTTCCCTCTCACTGTTACCAACACCCGGTCCTTAAAATGCCTCTCACTTTGACTCCCTACCATTTATTCTTTGGAATAATAATGTTGAGCCGGCTTTCTGCTTAGTGCTGGAGACAGCAGTGAACAAGACAGGACCCTGCTGTCTTGGAGTTTACAGTCTTGCCAGAGAAAGAACAAAGTAGGCCTTCGTAATCTCTCATTTACCCTTACTTAGCTTAATGACAGGCTTCTAATGCACCGCTGAATTCTCAGCCCTGCCTCCATCAACTGCTAAGTGATCTTTGTGAAATACTATTGTAATTTTGTCCTATTTCTGTTTAAATATTTTGGTGGTCACAAAGACTCAGAGGACTATATCCTTAAGTGTGACAATAAGGATTCTTAAGAAGCTGCCCTTATCTTTCAGTTATTAACCTGCTCTTTTTTCTCCCCCATCATAAATACCCTATTTCAATTAGATGACTCCTTATGCTCCCAATATACCATTTCAGATATTTCTAAACATTTTGACTTAGTTCCCAACATTTTCTTTTATAACTGAGAGATTCCTATGTGAGCAGAATCCTGCATCTCTGCCTTCATTGGCAACACTGTGTCCACATTTCTGTATGACAACAGTTGGCCAAAGCCAAGAAGTGGTTGCCTACTCTAGATTGGGCTTGGATTTACCACAGTGCCAGGGACCCCCTCCCAACCAAAGTTACTTTCTTAATTTGTTATCTGTCATATAGCTATTTGTGCTGGTTCCCTGCACTACATTATCATTTAAGTTAAACAAGAGCGACAGTGTGTTGTGTAATGGAAATAGCATGGGTTTGACTCCAAACCACTGGCTTTGAATTCTAGATAAGTTTCCTAGTCCAAAAACTTCTCGGTGAAGACCAAAGACCGGCAATCCAGAGACTGCTCAGGTTGAAATGAGCTTTAATGGGACATGATTGTGCCTTTACCCTCATTCAAAAAATACCCAAGTGGGTCAGAGAGTTCACAATGATTTCACCACAACTGACATCATCAGTACACTGAGGGAATAGAAGTGCCATTTGTCAGGCATCCCTCAGTGCCTGCTAAATGGTTGCATGTATTAGCTTCTTTCACCATGTCTGCATTCTGTGCCAGAGTTCAGCAAACCATAACTGTTCACTGACAGAGACACAAAAAAGATGTAGGAATATACATAAGTCCAGGGTATTCTGGGAGCTTGGAGAAGGGCACTGAACCTTTCTTGAGAGTGTGGCGAGAGCGGGAAAGACTTCCTGAAAGAGGTTACTTGAGCCTGAGATTCCACAATGAATTTATTTAAATTGATAGAATTCATTTTTATAACAGCTTCAGGTTTACAGAGAAATTGACTAGATAGTACAGAGAGTTATTAGATTCCCCTCTCCCTCCCTTACACGGTTTCCCCTATTCCTAACATCTTGAGCAGGTATGGTGCCTCATGCCCATAATCCCAGCACTTGGAGAGGCCAAAGTAGGATTGCTTGAGGCCAAGAGTTTGAGACCAGCCTGAACGATATGGCAAGAACTGATCTCACACACATACAAAAAAATTAACTGGGTGTGGTGATGTGTACCTGTAGACCTAGCTACCTGGGAGGCTGAGTGAGGAGGATCTTTTGAGCCCAGAAGTTCAAGATAACAATGAACTGTAATCATGCCACTACACTCCTACTCTCCAGCCCAGGCAATAAAGGGAGACCCTGTCTCTAAAAATAAAAATAAATTAAAAAATTATATTAGAGTGGTACATTTGTTATAATTGATGAGCCAATATTAATACATTATTAACTTAAGTCCATAGTTTACATTAGGGTATTAGGGTTCATTCTTTCTGTTGTACAGTTCTGTGTTTTGACAGATGCATAATGTCTTGTGTTTACCATTAAAGTATCATAAAAAAAGAGTTTCACTACCCTAAAAATCCCTTTTGCTTCAACTGTTCATCCCTCACTCCCTTCCCTAACCCCTAACCTTTGGCAACCACTGACTATCTACCCTCTCTATAGTTTGGCTTTTTTTTTTTTTTAGAGAGTGTCATATGGTTGGGTCATACAAAATATAGTCTTTTCTGCCTGAATGCGTTCACTGAGCAATATGATTTAAGTTTCCTTTGTGTCTCCTGGTGGCTTGATAGCTCATCTTTTATCGTTTAATAACATTTTATGGTATGAATGTACCACAATTTATCCAGTAACCTATTATTAAGGATTGACTTGTGTCCTCCAAGAAAATAGGTTGATGTCCTACCTCTTGGTGTCTGTGAATATGACCTGATTTGGGAAAGTGTCTTTTAAATAAATAAAATAAAATGAATTTTAAATTTATTTAAATTGTAAATAAATAAAATAAATTGATTATTTATTTATTTATTTATTATTCAGATGTAATCAAGTTAAAGTGAGGTCATGAGAGTGGGCTCTACTCCAGCATGACCGGTGTCCCTAAGAAGAAAGAAAATGGCATCTAAGGACAAACATACATGGAGAATGCCATGTCATAAGAGAGGCAGAAATTGAAGTGATGCAGCTATACGCTAAGGAACACCAAAGATTAACAGCCACCACCAGAATCGAGGAAGAGGCATGAAAGAATTCTAACCAGGTCTCAGAGGAAGCACGGCCCTGCTGACACATTGATTTCAGACCTCTAGCCTCCAGAATTGAGAAAGGGTAAATTTCTATGATCTGAAGCCACCTCGTTTGTGGCATTTTGTTATGGCAGTCCTACAAAACTGTTAGTAGACCCACTGAGAGAGACATCTTTTTTTTTTTTTTTTGACCCAGAGTCTTACTCTGTTGCCCCAGGCTAGAGTGCCAAGGCACTAGCCTAGCTCACAGCTACTTTGTTTCCCTGAAAATAAGGCACTGTCTTATATTTATTTTTTCTCAAGAAGACACACTAGAGCTTATTTTCAGGGGATGTCTTCCTCTCTGCGCTGAAACGCCCATCACTAGGTCTCATTATCAGGGTAGGGCTTATTTTTGGGGTAGGTCTTATTTTCTTTTCCCTTTTTTTTTTTGAGACAGAACCTCAAGCTGTCACCCTGGATAGAGTGCCGTGGCATCACAGCTCAGTGCAACCTCCAACTCCTGGGCTCAAACGAGTCTCCTGCCTCTGCCTCCCAAGTAGCTGGGACCACAGGTGCCTGCCACAACGCCTGGCTATTTTTTTTGGTTACAGCTATTGTTGTTTGGCAGGCTGGGCTGGATTCGAACCTGCCACCTTAGGTGTACGTGGCTGGCACCTTAGCCACTTGAGCCACAGGCGCCGAGCTGGTAGGTCTTATTTTCGAGGAAACACGGTACTTCAAACTGCTGGGTTCCAGTGATCCTTCTGCCTTAGCCTCCTGAGTAGCCGGGACTGCAGGTGACTGCAATGGATACCCAGCTAATTTTTCTATTTTTAGTAGAGACAATGTCTCCCCCTTGCTCAGGTTGGTCTTGAACTCCTTACCTCAAGCAAGCCTCCTGCCTCAGTACTTAGAGTGCTAAGATTACAACCTTGAGCCACCAGGCCCAGGCAAGAGAGACATCTTGATCCAACTTTGGGTGATTGTGAATCAAACTGTTACATGTCTAAACATCTGTGTACAGGTTTTTGTGTAGAAGTGTGGGCATAAGTTTTCAACTCATTTGAGTAAATACCTAGAAGTGTGATCATTAGCTCATATGTTAAGACTATGTTTAGCTTTGTTAAGAAACTATTAATTCCAAACTGTTTTTTCCAAAGGGGCTGTACCATTTTGCATTTCTACCAGCAATGACGGAGCGTTCCTGTGGGTCCTCATTCATGCCAACATATGGTACAGTGAGGGGCTTTTTGTTTTTCTGGATTTAACCATTCGAATAGATGTGTAATAGTATTTCGTTATTGTTTTAATGTTCAATTCCCTAATGACATATGATGTTGAACATCTTTTCATATGCTTATTTGCCATCTGTATATCCTTGCTGAAGTATATGTTTAAATTTTTTGCCCATTTTTAATTGAGTTGTTTGTTTTCTTACTGTTGAGTTCTAAAGAGTTTCCTGTAATTTTACATACCAGTTATTTTTTTCAAATATGTGCTTTGCAAAGATTTCTTTCTTGTCTGGAGCTTCTCTCTTATTCTCTTAACAGTGACCTTGGAGAGCAAGAGCTTTTCATTTTAATGAAGTCTACTTATTAATTTTTCATGGATTTTAGATCATATTTTTGGTGTTGTACCTGTCAAGCTACAGAAGGAAAGTGAGGCAAAACTAATATAGAGTTTATTGAGGCTAAAGTTGAGCATTGCAGCCAAGGAAACACTGGAAGTGCTCCAGAGAACAACTTCAACACTGTGTTGGTTGTTCTGATTCTTTTGCCTTTCCACATAAGTTTGAGAATCTATTTGTTGACATTCACAAAGTAACTTATTGAGATTCTGACTGGGATTGTGTTGAATTTAGAGACCAAATTGGGAAGATGTGATATTTTAATGATATTGATGCTTTCTATCCATGAACATGGAATATCTCTTCATTTATTTAGATTTTCTTCTCCTTTCTTTCGCCAGAGTTTGGTAGTATTCCTCACGTGGATCTTGTAAACATTTTGTGAGATTTATTCCTTTTTGTGTATTAATGTAAACAGTATTTTGTTTTAAATTTCACAGGTTAATTGCGGATATATAGGAAAGAAATTGACTTTATACATTAACCTTGTATCCTGCAACCTTACTATCATGTAATTACTTATTATTTCCAGGACAGTTTTTTTTTGTTATTCTTGGCTAATTCTCTAGAATTTTTCAAATAATCAATAAAACTGTCTTGAACAATCAGTATACATTTAATTTTATTATCTTGTTACATTTTCTTGCTTTTATCTTATAATTTTCTGATTACAGATGGACATGATGTATTAGGTAATAAGAACTGAGATGGGGTTCGGCGCCTATAACTCAGTGGCTAGGGTGCCAGCCACATACACAGGAGCTGGCAAGTTCAAACCCAGCCTGGGCCTGCCAAACAACAATGACAACTACAACCAAAAAACAGCCAGGCATTGTGGCAGGTGCCTGTGGTCCCAGCTACTTGGGAGGCTGAGGCAAGAGAATCACTTAAGTCCAAGAGTTTGAGGTTGCTGTGAGCTGTAGAGCCATGGCACTCTACCCAGGGTGACAGCTTAAGACTCTACCTCAAAAAAAAAAAAAAAAGAATTGAAATGGGGCATGGTGGATCACACCTGTAATCCCAGCACTTGGGAGGCTGAGGCAGGTGGATTGCCTGAGTTCACAAGTTTGAGACCAGCCTGAGCAATAGTGAGACTACCATCTCTAAAAAAAAATAGCTGGGAGTTGTGGCAGGTACCTGTAGTGCCAGCTACTTAGGAGGTTGAGGCAAGAGAATCGTTTAAGCCCAAGAGTTTGAGGTTGCTGTGACCTATGATGCCATGACACTCTACTGAGGACAACAAAGTGAGACTCTGTCTCAAAAAAAAAAAAAATTGAGATGGGCTGGGCACTGTAGCTCAGTGGTTAGGGAGCTGGCCACATTCATTAGGGCTGGTGAGTTCCAACCTAGCCTGTACCTGCTAAACAAAAAAATAATAATAATAACCGGGCCTGTGGTGGTTACCTGTAGTCCCAGCTACCAGGGAGGCTGAGGCAAGAGAATCACTTGAGCCCAAGAGTTTGAGGTTGCTGTGAGCTATGACGCCATAGCACTCTACAGAGGCCAACAAAGTGAGACTCTATCTCAATTTTTTAAAAATTGAGGATAGGGCTTTAGTGATTTTATGTTTATCTGACTAGGAATTAGGCTGTGTTTATGGTTTGCATTAAGTGTCAGAGATTTCAATTTTCTCTTATGTCCTGTTTTTTTGTTTTATGGTTTTTGTTTTTTTTTTTTTTTTGAGACAGAGTCTCATTATGTTGCCCTCAGTAGAGTGCAGTAACATCACAGCTCACAGCAACCTCAAACTCTTGGGCTTAAGCAGTTCTCTTGCCTCAGCCTTCTGAATAGCTGGGACTATAGGCGCTCGCCACAATGCCAGCTATTTTTCGATTGTACTTATCATTGTTGTTTAGCAGGCCCAGGCTGGGTTTGAACCTGCCAGCTCCTGTGTATGTGGCTGGTGCCCTAGCCACTGAACTATAGGTGCTGAGCCATATTTCCTGGGTTTTGTTTCCCCTGTTATCTTTGAGTTTTCCTGAAGACTCCTTCTGAATTAGTGTTTCTTACAGCTCTCTGTTGTAAGCAAACAGTTGTAAGCCACTGTTTTTATACTGGAGCCCTGTTGATGTGGTGGTGAGATACTGGTGAAGGGAAGCCTTAATCTTTTTTTTTTTTTTTGAGACAGAGCCTCAAGCTACCCCCCGGGTAGAGTGCTATGACATCACAGCTCACAGCAACCTCCAACTCCTGGGCTTAAGCGAGTCTCCTGCCTCAGCCTCCCAAGTAGCTGGGACCACAGGTGCCCACCACAACACCCGGATATTTTTTGGTTGCAGCCATCATTGTTGTTTTGGCGGGCCTGGGCTGGATTCGAACCCGTCACCTTAGGTGTATGTGGCTGGTGCCTTAGCCACTTGAGCTACAGATGCCGAGCCAGAAGCCTTAATCTTGATCCCCAATTTGGGGTCTGTTTTTTATTATTTCTTATTTATTCACCTTTTTAATTTATTATTTTTTTCTTTTTTGGAGACAGAGTCTTGATCTGTCATGCCTCCTGGCTAGAGTACAGTAACTTTATCATAGCTCCCTGCAACCTCTGAATCCTGGGTTCAAGCAATCCTCCTGCCTCAGCCTCCTAAGAAACTGGGACTACAGGTACTTGCCACCATGCTCAGCTAATTGTTTTATTTTCTTTTATTTTTTGTAGAGATGGGGTCTCATGGTTGCTCTGGTTGGTCTTTGGTCTCCAACTCATACATTCTTGACCTCAAGGGATCCTCCTCCTGCATAGGAGTCCCAGAGTGCTTGGATTACAGGCATGAGCACACTACCTGGTCACTGTTCTGTTTTTGAATGGACCAGAGTTCCTGCTTCCTCCCTTAACCTGCAGAAGAATGTCTTAGCCTTTTATTTTCCCCCCATGTGAGACAGGAAAGCTACCGAAGGTTGTAGTTGTCTAGTTACCCTAACCTTAGGTCTGATAATTCTCTGGTAAAGTAGTTTCCTTTGCGGGCAGACCTTTGTTTCAGAGAACAGAGCATACTGAGCTTATTTCCAAATGGTTCCTTTACCCCTCTTCCTGTCCAAAGTATGAAGGGATTTTCTTCAGATCTTCACTGTGAGAAACAGGTGGGACTCCTGGATGTAAAATTCACAAAATTGTGCCTCCCCCAAGTTTAAAAAAGCGCCTGGATTTTTTAAAACCTCAAGCTAGTCCACTTTCAGTTTTCGGCCATTTATAATTATTGCTTAAATGTTCCTACCAGTTAACGTCTCCAATGGCTTCTGCTCTTGGTAAACTATGATTGTGTATATTCTTCTGTCTGTCTGATTTTCAAGGTAGCAGTTTGCCCTGTGACCTCAATTCCCTAAGTCTGCAGCCATTCCCCATCACCACCTGAGTTCTGCCTCCTGTCAGATCAGCAGCAACATTAGGTTTTCATAGGAGCATAAGCCCTACTATGAACTGCTCACACATGGTGGAGCTGAGACAGTGATGTTAGCACCTGGGGGATGGCTACAAATACAGAATAGGGTCCTCTAGTTGCAGGAAGACAAGCTCAGGGCTCCCACTGATTCTGCATTATGGTGAGTTGTATAATTATTTCATTATATATTATAATGTAATTATAAAAGAAATAAAGTACACAATAAATGTAATACATCTCAAGTGACCCCCAAACCATACCCGCCTCCCACCCCTATTTGTTGAAAAATCGTGTTCCATGAAACAGTCCCTGGTGCCAAAATGGTGGGGGACCGCTACTCTAAGGGAATCTAAGAAGAGTTGTTGATTTTTAGTTTTCAGTATTTTTCTCATTGTAAAGATGGAATGATGACTTTCAAGCTCTTTATGCATGACAATGGAAACACAAAGTCATTTCACGATGAATTTTTTCACCGTTCTAAGGCAGAATAAAAAAGTAAGGACCACATTTTGTATAAAGCTAAACATTAGGGTTTTTTTTTTT